GTTCATTGGATCTTCCAGCACCCATCACAACCCAAGTATCCCACCTTCTGAAACACATAATTGTCCCATCCATCAAAACGATCTCTGAGACAATCCAAAGATTACCACCACTTCTTGGGATCGTTGCAGCGTGCAGACTAATAAAATCCCTCCAAAATGTCTCCAGCAGCACCTGTGGCACTCCGCATAGTAGGGGCCCAGCACAGGATCTCTGTCCTGGTCAACCCCAACTTATCAACAGCAGGTGCAGAATCTGCAGCACGCGCCAAACGCAGTACGCGGGCAGTTCTCTGCGCTCCTGGTTGAGGAGTGATTTTCTAAGCATGTTAAGGCACAGAAGCAACACAGAAAAAGAGCCACTGAGGCTGAAGAGACTATTATATAGTAGATGCTACTGAGGCCACAAATAATGATTATATATCTTACCTTGCAGTTCTACATGCCAATGGAATGTCTCGTCTATACAGTCCCAAAGCTCTGCACTCACTGGCAGCCTTGCTAGAAACCCTTCTTTTGGTTAGGGGCAGGTGATCCGGCCGTGGTGAACACGATGCCTCTTTGGGTACCAGATTCAGCGAGAACTTGTCAAAGTAGGAAACCTTATAACCTGAAGAGAAGGTATTTTGCCAGTTGTCTAGGCAGTGATCTGGTGCCCGGGCAAGGGGTTCTTTTAGTTCTTTCAGATGCAGAGACCCCGAACACACCAGCAGGTCAGGAGATGTTAAGCTTTATTGTTAACTCTAGGAAACAGTTTTAAACAGGAAGACAAGAGCACAGTTTGAAAGCATCACAGACCAAACAAGATTATAAAACTCTTCCCCCACCATCGGGAGCTACTATAATGGGACACTTGAGAGACCCCAAGATGGCTATGATAACACAGCGCCAAGTCCCAAGCCCTGAATCCACGCTCCAAGTTCCAGGGGCAATGCCAGGGTTTTTCCCCAAAGCCTGGCACTGCAATCCCATGCCTCTGTTTTGGAGTGAGGGGCTTTGAAAGTGACCTTGAGCAGA